ACTCATTTGTAGCGTATATGAATTGATCAACAAAAATTTCTAGAATTGATTTCCAAATTTGGAAATCTCCCTGACTGCATTTTCTTAAATTTATATATGTCGATCGCTCGGTTTTAATTAGTGAGTTTCTATCGTTGATCGGCGGACCACGAATTAATGATCGGCAATCAAAAAATTATCTACTGTATCATAGTAAAATTCGTGTTACCTACACTCTACCCTTAAACATCTGAATAATTTTATATTTTTATCAATATATTCTGGTTTTAAAATTAAATTTTGTTATCTTTATTATATTTTTATCTTTAATTAATAAAATATGCTAGTTATGATGATTTCAATCTATTTTAAAAAAAATTTCTTGTTTAAGATTATAAAAGGAAAATATATTTTATGCGAAAAAAAAAAGAAAAAGAATTTAAATGATGGTTAATATTAGTATTTAAAATAATAATAATAACAATAATAATAATATGATTAAAAGGTTTTTTGAACTGGCCAATTTATTTGCTATTTAATAATTTCATTTTCGCTGTAATCATCCACCCATTCCAGTATTTACGAAATCAAATGCAGCAACATTAAGTGGACGACGAAAAAAGCTTATATCAACCCTTAAATCTTCCTCACCCTCAAATGGATCATCCAATACTATAAAAAAATAGTAATTAATTGATTAATATGTATGTATGTATGCATTTAAAAATTGAATTGAAATATTAAAATAGGAAATTAAAAATTAAAAAAACCTTGGACAGGTGGGTGACAATACTCTATATCATCATGATCACTAAAAATTTCATTGTCGTCATCATCAAACCAATCATTAAGTAGTGCTATAAAAAAATATTAATTAAATTAATTAATTAATATGTATGTATGTATGTATGCATTTAAAAATTGAATTGAAATATTAAAATAGGAAATTAAAAATTAAAAAAACCTCGCGCAGATGATGGACAATATATGTCATCGTCATCACTATAAATTTTCATCATTGTGATGATGATTATTAATAATAAAATCAGTGAAATTGATATTATCTTCATTATCATTTATAACTTTGATTTTTTTAATTTTGTTGTCACTGTTATTCAATGATTCATTAAGAAGTAAATATCAAGATTAGTATATAAATCGTAGAATAATATTTTATTTTCTTAAACTAGAGTGACGATGAGTGACAGGCAATAGCCACCACCACTATCCTTAAAACACTTACCCAGTAATATCTTTTTCTTCTGCTTGTTTGATTTTTTTTCTTTTTTTATCATGAAAAGAAGACATTTTAAATTTTAACAAGTTGAAGTGAGCTGAAAAAAGAAGATCGAGTTCCTTGAATCCTTCTTCTTTAAAATGAGTTGAAAAGAGATAAGAGTTTGTTTTTTTACGCGAGATATTCTTTTTTTTATATATGGTGCGAATCATCTAAAGACATCACGTGCTGCGCCACTTGCCGAAAATTTTTATGCTGATCTTGCTTTATAA